CGCCGGGCTCGCCCCACCTGCTGCCCGTGCTGTAAGTCCCCGCCGTGTCCCCTAAGCCGCCGCTTCGCCGGGCTCTGGCGGCGAGCGGGGGGCCTCGTCCGGCGGACGCTTTTTGGCCTTAACTTTGCCCTCAGGGAGATGACAGTCTTAAATCTGTGTAAAATGAAGTGCTTGATGTGTGCAGCATCAGGGCCTCAATTCCCGGGTTTCATTTTGTTCAGTAACAAAATAGGTCAGGAACGCGCGCTCTAACTTTACGTGTTGCAGAATCCCTCGACCAGAAGAGCCATGTGTGGTGTTTTAAATAAATCTGTGGCATGTGTTCTCACTCTTCTTGCAAAATGTCTTTGCTCTAGCCGGGTTACTTTCATTACCGTAATGAGCTTTGTGAAACTAGAATAGAAATCATATGAATATTCTTAGGAGTACAGTAGGAAGCACATAAAAAGAGGTATGCAGTGGTTTTTAATGGAAGTGCTTTTGTTTCTTTGTGCTTGATGGTCTGGGCTCTCGTATTTGATTGCATCCTTTTAGAGTGTTTAAATGGGACATGAAAATAGGTCCAGCTCTTGCTGCAATACATATTGCCACCACTGAAGAATTATTACAAAATATTTTGTAAATAAGAGTTTTCATACAAACAGAGTAGCAGTGCGCATCAGAATGGTCGAAAACGTGGAATTTCACAATTAAAATAAAACCCGATAAAAGTTTGTGCGTGTGTGTCTCAGGATAACCCTTGTGTTATATGGACTAGAAATACTGTAGGATTTGTTATTGGTATTTGTAGTATGCAAGTATACATAGAAGAATTACAAGCAGGAGTAGGGAGTAGAGCTTTAAACTGTCTTGATCGTCAGATTTGTAATACTAAAAATACAGTCCTTCTGCATTGTTAGCTGCTCCCTGTGTTCTCAGTGGACTAACTAATTGTGTTTTTAGAGACACTTTCAGGACTAGTTTTATCAAAAACGAACTGTTGTAATAGTATTGAGTATGTAGTGAAGTCTGAATTTTGATTCAGTTGTTTCGAGTAATCTTAAATACTGAACTTTTGCAGAAACTTGCTTTATTGTCTTGTATGGTTAATATTGTGGTTCCTTTCCAGCTGAATTAAAGCACCAGTTTAAATTGCTGTAATGCAGAATTTGTGCTAAGTGAAAGAAAAAGTTGTGTTCTTTTTGTTTCCCTAAAAATATTCTGCATCAATTTAGATGTAATTGAATTGTCATTTACTTAGAGAGATGGAACTGCAGTATTTTTAAAGACTATTAAACAATGAACTCCTGTAATTGGTGGGGAAAACGTCTTTTTATTAGAATTGATTTCTGCCCCCCCCCCGCATGTTAATTGAGTCTAAAGCTGTTCTTGTACTTGCCTTCTGTTCCTGAAGCATCGATCAATTGAGACAAACCTATTTCTGCTTGGTTTTCATACAGGAATTTTGATACAATATCATTTTATTTCTGAGTGGAATCTATTAGATATATTGAAATATAATATATGATCAAAATTCAGAATCAGTGTTCCCGTTGCAGCATAGCAGGAGGAATTCATTTGGAATAAATACATGGCAATTTCATACCAAAACAGTTGACTGTTCTGCACTTTGATTTTTTTTTTTTTGTGATTCAGTTCCAAATGCGTATATAAGGTTTTTAATTAGCAGATCACAGGCTCCTTAAAATCTCATCTCATCAGTAATTCCTGAAGATTTTCTTTGACTAAGTTTCCGCAGATACAAAAAAGTGACTGGCCATGAATAGGAAACAGTGAGGTGGTTTATCTGTTGTGCTATCAAATGCCCAGTGACAGATAAAAAAAAAAAAAAATCTGATAGGCTCAGGAGCTTGAGCTGATAGTATATCGACAGTAACAGATTTTCAGATAGGAGGATGATTTCCCTTTTAGAAAACAACCATGTTTTTTCTTTCCTTCCACAGTATTTGTGTGGCTTGTGGTGACTTGTAAGGAGGAGGGCAGTATTCTATGATATTCTTCCCCTGCTGTGCCCCCTGCCCCCTTGACATGTGAGTTAGGGAGCTTGCTGAAAATTTGAAGTGGTTATTTGCAGCAGCTTCTTTACTTTTCTGAAATAATGGTGCCGCTATTGAGTTTTCAAACTATGGGGAAAAGCGATGAATTTGTGATAACTACTGCAGAATCATCTGTACGATGTTGCTGATTTTATGAAGTCGTCTATCATTTGCTATAGGATTTAAATAACTGTCTTTGGCAAGCAAGAAGCTAGTTTTGTTTCACTTTACCAATATGTGCATTTTGGGTTTTTTAGAGGAGAAGGGGCTAGCTTATTTAAATAGAGCTAAGCTTTTATTTACAGAGAAAGTTTCTTGCTCTTTTTTAGGTCTGTAGATAACATTACATTTTCATTTAGAAGTTTGCTTCTTAAATATGAAAGTTTCCGGTTTTTATTGTTGTTTTTTCCTGTCACTCTAGTTTCCAAAGTAATAGAAAAGAGAAAAAAATGTCTTGGGTCTGCTTGTTTACTGAAAATCTGATGGGTGACTGAACTGGCAAGCAGTGGTTTCATGCCATCTTGGCCTAGTAAAAGCATGACTTTTTCCTATCAGACCTATCACCTCAAAATGATTTGAGGTCTGTCTTAAGGAAGTTCACCACTTCCAAAATCTTAAATTTGTGAGGAAGGAAGAAGCTGACGTGACTTCTCCTGGTCAGCATCCTGAGCGACTTTCAGGGGTGCATAGAGACTAGCTAAAACACTTAAGCGTGAGTTTGGGAGCAGTTGTTGCCCAGTCAGTAGCACCAAGTTTAATTTCTTGGATATTGCTCCTGACCAGTGGGGTTCTCCCTAGTCTGTTGTGTGTTGAATGAAGGCTTTCAACAGCAGGACATGAGAGAACTTACGGATTTAGTGATTGTGCATGAGGAAGGGGTTCTTGCAGACCGCTTCAGATAGCGTAACTTCTCATACTACGTGCTTTTCTAAAGCAGACAGAAAACTAATTACTGGGTATAGAACACAGCTCTTACCCACTGAACTTTAAAGGAGTCGGAGTTCAGGATGGGGTGTGTGTATAACGGCAAGTGTCTTTTATCCTCTTTAGTAAACTTCTCAAGACTGGCTCATTAAATAAATAACAATTTAATGAAATGTGGAGGTTACCTGAAGTCAGTTTGTGAACTAGTTCTTTTTAAGAGTTATACAGCAATTAGAAAGTTGCCTTACTGTAGTCATATAATTATACCCTAATTGGATTCCTCTGGGTATAATTACATGCCTTGAATATGTGCGCACATTTTTATTTCCTAAGAAATATGCCAAAGTTGACCCAGCTTCTTTCTCACGTTAACATTTGCTTGTGTGATGTGCTACCCCTAACAGTGGATTGTACGAGGTAGTCGATAAAAGGCTTCTAGTAATACCTACAGAAGTAAAAGAAGGCCAGCATCTAAGATGAAGGACTAAACACCACACCCACACCATCAAGCTTGTTGCAGCTGTCTCTTTGATCGTAGCAAATGCCCTAACCAGTCTGAGTGGATTAGTAGAGCCAAAATCTTAATGTGATTGCAGCTCTTAATTTTAGATTGATGTGTGAAGAAAGGGGAGGTCACTTGAATGATGAGAGGAGAATCTTAACCCTTTTAAAAAGGTGTTGGGGCAAATGGGTAGGCATGTTAATGTTGCATTTTTTTCCTTAGGAACTCCTTCCAAAAATAGCGACACTGAATGCTACGTGGAAGTGAGCTATATAAAAATATTTTGAGTAATGTATCTCTCACTGAAGTCATCTGAAAAATTTTCGTCTGCTGCTATCGGTGATAAATGTTCAATCATTTCATGAACTAATATAGCATGAAATACTATCATCCTAAATGCTTCATGTTCTCCAAGACAGTTATCGCTCCTTGACTTTGCTCTGCTCTGTACGTAAGTCTGGACTGTGCACTGTGTTTGTGGTAAAATGGTGCAAGTTGAGCAAATTGAAGACTTAATGTATGACATTTCCAGGTCTGCTTCAAAGTATTTGTATATATAACATATTTTGTAGCAATTGGAATTTGTAGTTCAAATTCCCTAAGAATCATCTTGAAAGCTACAGCTCAGAAAAGAGGAAAATACAGACTTATCAGTCTTTTTACAGAGGATTCCTGAATGTTTTCTGTAACTAAGAGTGGCTTTTTAGGACTTTCCGCTTAGAGTGTGAGAACGCAGCACTGAAATCTCAGTGGTTCCCCCTCTTCTCCCTGAGTTTACAGATTGCTACTTCTCCCCTGTAGAGTCAGCAATTGCCTAAATAACTCTTACTAGATTCCAGAGATTATTTTGTATTTTTGAAATGAATTAGCTCTGATTCTGGTTGGTAAGTGACATACTGCAAAATGTACTGTGACTGACATTAACTGGTAGTCTGAAGAGGAGTGTATATTACCACAGAGGAGGCTGAATTGCATCTTTGCCCTCTTTTTCAGAGGTCCCCCCCCCGTTACAGACAAGATAAAAAGCTAAATTGGAATGATGTGATATGAATATTTTTATATACCAGTCCAGGAAGCTATGGTGACTTGCTAAACTCTCTGAATTTAAGAAGTCATTTAGCAGAGGTTAAACTAGCATAAACATAACATGCTCCTAACTTGTTTCTCCTTTGTTTATATAGTTATTTTATGAAAATGAGGCATTAACTTACTATAACTAATTGCCTTTTATAATACTTTAGAAAAGGATAATCAGCTTAGGTCAGATATCAAAATAATGGGCATCAAAATGAGGGCCAGAGTTGGTCATTGCTAAAAATAAAGTCTGATGGTAATGTTTTTATACATTGAAAATAGCCTGCATCAGGTAGATGAAATGATATTAATTTTTCTTCTGTTACAGGAACGTGGTATTGTGTTTTGCTCACTCATACCTCTGTTCAACATTGTTGTAATAGTGATATTATTTGCTTTCCATCAGTTTGCAGGGAAGCTGAAACACTGTAGTGTTCCTTTGAGCAGGACAAATAAGGAATGAGCCAGCTGTGGGAAACAGGACCTGCCATCCTAGCTGGATACATCTGAAGAGAGGACACTAGTCTTGTGGCATGCATCAGTAGAAATTTTTCAGAAAAAGTAAGCTGCTGTTTTGTTAATTGACTTACGTGTGTCAGGTCCTTTAAGGATTGCATAGATGCAATTCAGAATTTGACCCGGAGTTTGAAGAATTACGTTTGGGAGTGATTTTATGAGAATTTACTTTTCTTTCTGATAGAGTCTTAGAAGGCCCGGTGACTTTGCATATAGTTTTCATATATCATCTCTTTGAGGCATACTTTGTGTGTTGATGAAGGCACTCTAGGCTGTGCATCCTAAGCATACAAAATTAAGTGTATGTTTTAATGTTAATTAATTCCAGCAAAAATAGAGGAAAACCAAAAGGTGAGATCTAGTGAAAGTGTGGACTAGTTCTTTTTCAGTTGGCTTTGGGCTGTATTTGTGTTAAATTGCAGTGTGCAGATGCTCATTGTTCCCTTATTTATACCTGAATTGATGATGCAAATACTTCACATGCTGTTATTGTTAAAATTTGTACTCAAGACTGATTAATTTTAGCTATGCTTTTCAATAATATATTTTTTCCTGTTGTCAAGAGTAATTAAAAGAACCCAGCACTCTAAAAACTAGAACTTTAGCATTTGATAACAACTGTTCTAATATGAAGCCTTTTTTGATTCAAGCTTGTTATAAACCATTGCTGTTAATTTTCAGGAAAAAATATTGTGGTTGTAATGAAAGTGCTTCTACAGCCCTAATTTAGCAATCATAATAGTAGTCCTACGTGTTTTTCCTCCTTTCTAAAGGTTACATGTTAAATATGCACGGACACACATGCAAGCTTACAAACAAACTCTTAGAACTTGATTTAAAACTTAAAAAAGTAAACAGAAAAGAATTAATGAGCATCTTCCTTCAAATCAACTAAACATTTTGTTTTTAAATCTTCAAGCGCCTAGTTGCCCTGTATTCTGGGCACACGCAACTGCAGTTGTTCTTATCTTTAGCAGTTTTATATTGCTGAGTAGTGCTTGGTTAGCGATAAGGGTTTAGTCCTCCAGCTGCATTCATTGTACATACAGTGTTTTTCTCTAAGTCATGAAGAGTTGCTTAGGAATTGCAAGTAGGACTTCTAGTCCTCCTTTCTTCTTATATGCTGCGTTATTGACTTGACCTAATAAGCAATCAAAGAACCCCCACATTAATGGTTGACCTGTTAAGCACAGTTTAAAAGTTAGCACTTTTTGTGCTTTCAGTGAACAGTTGAGAACTTTCATTCTGCTTTTAGTTTACTAATAAGCTAGCTTGTGGAACCAGAATTTGACTTGTCAAAATGAGTTGCGTTTTTAGTCCCAGCAGTGTCTGAAATCTTAGTAATGAGAGACTACTTGTAAGACGTTGTTTATCTAGAGGTTGTTTCAGTCTTTTCTTTGACTCTGAAAAGAGTAGCCTTATAAAGTGTGTTCAGGGAGAAGAAGCCTTTTGTAAATCTGTAGCATGGAAATAAAAATCTCTATGGCTGTGCCTTTTTGCACAGTGGTATGTCATTATGGGGACACTTGAAAATTCAGATCCTTTTTCCTCAGCCATGCTTGGCACAAGTTAATCAATACATAGATTTTTCTTTCAGCTCTTGTTGTGAGATACAGATTGAGTTGTATTCTTGGATATTCTTAAATCTTAATAGCTTTTCTTCCCTCTTTTTTTTCTAATAAGCTTTTGATCATTTAAAAAAAAATCCCTAGTTTTAATGTAAAATTCTGTTCTAAAATATAACTTCAAAAGTGTGAGGCTCCCAGAAAGCAACTTGTTCAGAACAGTGTTAGCACGGGTCTCACAGATGCATATGTACTATACAGTAGAAAGATAGTTACCAGGTAGTAATCGTGTGTCTGCCTCTGGCATGCTGATTTAAAAACTAACGTACAGATTTGTTTTTAATCTCAGAGAAAGAAATTCAGATAAGAAACTGAAATATAGGTAGACACAATTATGTGCTACTTCAGGAAAATAATATTTCCACTGTAGAGCTTTTTAGACGGATTTGATAACAAATTAGATTAAAGAGATGGGTATTGGTCTTCTGAGAGGAAATTATAGTGATAGAACAGAACAGCAAATAGACATACTTCTAAGTAAATAGCACTTAAATGCATTGTCGCAAAGATAAATATAGATATTGAAACATAATCTCTCTTTTTTTGAATCCTAGGATGTAGTCATAAGATATCTAAAGCAGGGAAGGCTTTTGCAGTAACACTAGGAATTTTTTTCCTGAGGTAACAAATTTAACTAGAACTGTAGTGCAGCACTGGAATAGGTTGTCCAGGGAAGTTGTGGAAATTCCTTCCTTAGAGGCTTCAAGAAAATCCATGGCTGAACTGATCTCGTATTAGTTGTAGTGCCATGTAGAGAAGGAGACTGAACTAGAAGACCTGCAGAGGTCCCTTTCAGCCCACACTTCTGTGATAAGTCCATCTTCCTAAATGTTCCTTGGAGATTTACAATAATAAATATGAAAAAAGACACCTTTTTAGCCCCAGCCCCCAGAGCCCTTCTTTTTCTCGTTTGATATCTGCTGTTTGCTTTGGATTGCTAATAAATACAAACAGAAAAGGAAAATTCTCATTGAATATACTGTGGATGGCTAAAATGATGCCATGGCTAAAATGTAATTGAACAGGCATTTCCATGTTCAGAATCTTGCAACCACTGAAATGCTACAAACTGCCAAAACAGCAATGTTCTGCTTTTTTCGTTCTGCTCTTCTTACAATCAGTTACAAAAATCGCCTTTAATGTCAGAAATAAGACATGGCCAGAAAAGGCAGAGGAAATGCCTTTACAAACCAATCAAACAGCAGTTGTGTTTAAGTATTTCAGCTTCTGTCTTATAGTGCTCCTTCTGCTGGACTGGAATAATTCCTTCTGAGGTGCCCTCAGTTATATTAGGGAATTCACCTGGTGCTTAGGAAAAAGAAATCTAGGTTATCTGTCTTTTGAAAAAGCCACCTCCCTTTCCAAATCCAATTCATTCTGCAGTGCTGGGGTTGTTTTTAGCCCAGTTTGAGGGATAGTACACTGTGCTGTATGGGGAGGAAGAAACAGAGGGTAGGAATACTCAGCTTGATTCTGCTGCCAGGCACATTTTGCACTGTGGAAATCTGGTCTGAGGCACAGTTCTAGCAGTACCTTAATCAAACTGATGATCACCAGTACTGTGAAGAGAGATTTTGTTCAATGTTTGCAGCTAGCTCACCTAGCTCTTCAGCTGTAGAAAAGAGCCATAGAGGCTTTAAATTTCTTGAGGAGGCTCCAAAGTTAGCTGCCTGACTGGAGCTACTATAGTACCTTTAGGCTATGTGAAGTTCATTACTCAATCAACACTACTTTAGAAAAAGACAAAACTGCAAAATTTGTTTTCTAACTTAGCATGGCAACGTGCTAAAAATGAAACAAAGAGAGGTCTAGCAAAAGAAAGTCTCCAGATATTCAATTTGATCTCTCAATTCCAGAAACAGAATGTTAAGCTGCCGCTTTCTTTAAAAATAAACCTTCATGAATGATACCTTACCTTACCTTAAGGTAAGCATCTCATTATGTGGGTGGTGATGTCAGAGGTGAGGTAAGGTGCCAGTTTAGGTTGACACAATAACTGATTCAAATCTATTTTTGATCCTTTGTAGGATGGCTGGCTGTGGTGAAATAGATCATTCAATCAACATGCTTCCCACAAACAGGAAGACAAATGAGTCATGTGCTAACGCAACACCTTCCCTGACAGTCCCTGAATGTGCTATCTGTCTGCAAACATGTGTCCATCCAGTAAGTCTGCCTTGTAAACACGTTTTCTGCTATCTGTGTGTGAAGGGAGCTTCCTGGCTTGGGAAACGATGTGCGCTCTGCCGGCAGGAGATCCCAGAGGATTTTCTTGACAAGCCAACCTTGCTTTCACCGGAAGAACTCAAAGCAGCAAGCAGAGGCAATGGAGAATATGCTTGGTACTATGAAGGTAGAAATGGTTGGTGGCAGTATGATGAACGTACCAGCAGAGAGCTGGAAGATGCCTTTTCCAAAGGTAAAAAGAGCACGGAAATGCTAATCGCTGGGTTTTTGTATGTAGCAGATCTTGAAAATATGGTTCAGTATAGGAGAAATGAGCATGGACGCCGCAGGAAAATAAAACGGGATATAATAGATATACCAAAGAAGGGAGTAGCTGGGCTTAGGTTGGACTGTGACGCTAACACTGTCAACCTAGCAAGAGAGAGCTCTGCTGATGGTGCAGACAGTACACCGCCTCCTGGGGCTGCAGCTGGACAGCCTCTAGTATCCATTTCTGCTAGGCCCCTGCTGTCACTAGATGGTCAGCTGATGAGTCCTTCAACGCCATCACCTGATGCAAGCACTTCTCTAGAGAACTCTTTTGCCCAGTTACATATAAATGGAGACAGTATGGCTGAAAGGAGTCATAGGGGAGAAGGAGAGGAAGACCATGAATCATCATCTTCTGGTAGGGTGCCAGCCCCTGACACCTCTGTTGAGGAAACCGAATCGGATGCTAGCAGTGACAGCGAGGATGTGTCTGCTCACCTTCAGCAACGCCCATCCTCTGCCCAGCAGAGACACTTGAATGCGAACGCAACCCAGTCAGGAGCAGATAGACCAGTGGCAGGGGGAGGGGGGGTAAACACAAGTGTAAGATCTAGAAGGCCAGATGGACAGTGCACAGTAACTGAAGTTTAAATCTAGAGCCATATGATTAAAAACTCAGTCTTGTATCTGTAAATTTTCTGTCCACACTGGCATTGCACTCAAAGCTAGCAGTGTGTTTGGTGAGAGGGTGGGGTGAAGGGGAGAAACAGATTTGGCCTGTTTAACTTAAGTCTCTTTAACCTGTCTCAGCTGGGAAGACTCTTAACTGTAAGAAACTGGGTTAATGGTTCGAAAGCTGCTTAGCAATACCCAGTTTTCTTGAAAATGTCTTGTGTTTATTTTGTAGAATTTTCCCCTTGGAGATACTCGATCCCTTTTTGGCCAATGTATATCTACTGTACAACTTGAATTGTCTTCATTATCTGACTGTTGCATTAAGTGTCTTACTACTTTCTGCATGGATTGATGTATGAAAAGAACACTAAAGGAATGTGGGAGCGGACAAGATGTTGGGTGTGAGCAGGATGCTTAATTTAATGTGAGAAAAATAGATGTGAGTTTGGAGTTAAATGTGTTTCTACTAGACAAAGAGCAATCATTTACCTTCTTTCAATGGAAATGTAAAAATGCTGTTAACTTTTGTTGTAAGTTCTTACCTATACGCTCTTCATGGCATTTTCATTGGCTTTTGTCATTAGTCCTTGTAGCTTTGTTTCTGAGGTCTTTCTCGATCTGTCTTGTTTTTGTTACGGAATTTATAATTTAATAAAACTACATTTTATCAGTAACAATCTTGATTATGTCTCCACTTCAGTTGAACTTCATTGGGGGAACTTTAAACAAAGCTGTAAAATAGCTTCCTGTGTTTGCTGAAAGGGAAGATTGTTTTTGAAAGCTGTTGTGATACAGTCAGCGATGCGAGAATTTCAAAAACAACACCATAGGAGTATGCATCTCTGCTGAAATAACATTAGTTGTGGGCTTAACGCTCACCCTCTCTCATCTTGGGAGCTGATCAACTCACTTTGCTGTTACGGTGGGCAAAAATATCGCACAGAGCCTCAGTTTCAACAGCGGAAACACACTGAATTGAAAGAGCATTAAGTAATCAAATGTGACCTTATAATGAAGAACACATGTTAAGGACTACACTGCTATTTATTTATTCTGCAAAGCAAAACTAGTGACAGAACAGAAAGGATTTTGTGCATGTATTATTGCAGATGCAACTTCTGGATTGGTCCCAAATGCTGCAAAATAACTTCTGCATATTACAGAATTTGAAAAGCCAGAACTTTGAAAAGTACAGTTTACTTTTTGTCTATATTGATTTGAAAAACATAAAACAATTGTTAAACAGCATCAGTTGATTCCAGGCTTCATCTTTAAAATAAAGCATAACTGTGACTCTTAATGCATGTGTCCCGGAATAGAAGGTGGTAATAGCAGATATGTAAGTAAGTACTTCAAATCTTTCAACAAGAGATATTGTAGATTTGAACCAACCATTCTCTTCAACCATTTGAAGAGAATTAAATGGAGTAATTTTTTTTAATGGTAGACTTACTTACACTTCTAAATTTAAAGTTACAGACTTGTTCTTACTGTGATGATGACCGACCTGCCTGTTCTTGGGCAAAACTGTGCAAGTTCTTGAGTTTCTGGTTCCTTTGCCCACAGATGAGATAGAAGGAAAACTAGTGAAAATAGAGTGGAAAATAAAGTAGATGATAGAAGGGAAATTGCAGCAGAGAGTAGGATGGACTAAGGAAATGTCTGTCTTTCTCAGCTAGGAATGGGTTTTCTTCATCACAGATTTTTACTATCGCGTTCCAATTCTGTAGTAAGTCAGTAACATGGATTTTGAAAAGGAAAGCGAGGAGTGGGAATGTTTTTTTTCTTTGCTGTTAGCTTTCTCATTTCTTTCTCTGTTTTGAGTTAGCATGCATTGGCTCTAATCAAAATCAGAATTTGCTGTGAAAAATATTCAGTAAGAACACTTCCTATATTTACATGCATTTCTCTTAATGTGAAAGCATGTATTGTTAAAAGCAAGATGGAAAATACAAGAACATGACTTGCCGCACAGATCTTTTCAGGACTTTCAGCCCAGACAGTCTACAGATAATTTTATCACTGATTATCCTTAGGGGTTCTTGACCTAAATAGAGAGGCAGGCCTCTTTTTAACCAAACACCCATGATGCTCCTTTGGCTCCTGCTGGCTGACTGCAGCTGTGAATTACTAAAATTAGTTAAAAGTAAGGCTGGTAAGAGCTTAATAGCTAATCATCAGAGTGGCTGATGCACTCCCCAGATCAAGCTAGGAAGAAAAAGTAACCATTAATTCCCATCTTATATTTCAACCATTACCTTCAGGAGGAGACTTCTCTCCTGTCAATTTTCACTAAGCTACAGCCACACTGCCTTATGTGCACGCTAGAGCAGAATGGAAAGGGGAAAAGATTAAACTAGTAGAAATCTGTACCACATCTCTTCAGTTTCAGAACAGATAGCCACAAGCATAGGACCCCTACCTTATGGTAAACAATCACATTACAAACCCAGTGTTCAGTAAGAATATCCAGCTTAAGTAAGTTGCCCGTTTGGTAACTAACTATGCTTCTGTCAAAGGATAGGTAACAGCAAGTATGCTAAAGTGTCCATATTGCTAAAAGTGATCTCTGGCGTGACAGTATCCAACCTTTAAACATTTGGCCCAGCAGATACAGCCCTATTAAGCATTCAGGCTGTCCCAATACACAGAAGCAAGGGAACAAGGTAGGCATTTCACAGTGTAATATTAAGCTTGGTTTGCTGAGGAGGGAGTTGCCAAACTAGTCCCTAGGACATATGAAGCCAGTCAGGAGGAGGCTGAGAATACCAATTCTGAACACAGGTTTCTGATTTCTTTTGTGCATTTTGTTATTGTTTGTCTGTTTTTAGGTCATTTATAAAGGGGGAAAAAAAAACCCTGAGGTGAGTCTTATAGTCTTTAATAACTGTAAAGAAAATACAAATACCTATCAGCTACAGGTTATAGGTGTTTGTTGCTTTAAGATGATAAGCGACTGTTCTGTGAAATAATAAAGAATTTAGGTTTGCAACAGGAAAAAAAAGAATTCCATTTCATGTGACTCAGTCTAGAGCCTTCATCTGTTAGCACTCACAGTAAATTTAGTTGGGCTGGTTTTCATACAAAAGGCTGTACTTGCTTTTAAAACAGCAACAGAAAATCATATTATGCATATGTGAACACACCACCACATTAAGCTGCTCAAAAAATCCTTGATCAAAACAACTAAATATAATTGTCTTCAGAATATAGTATAAGCTATGTTTGGTACATCTGTGATTCCAACAGACCCAAAGATGAAATGAGTTCCTTTAAAGTTTTCTGAAAGTACCCTACTCATTCCTAACACTAGTTAAATTATTTGTGCTCCTCTTAGAACCAAATATTGGCCTTTGATACAAGAGACAATGGCATTTGCTGAAATGAGAAATAAGCTCATTTGTCTATAAACCAAAATGGAAAGAGGTCCCGAATAGATTTACATATTGCATTTCACTTACTGTCAAGCACAGGTCTAGTTCAAAAAGTGTAGGTAAAACATTCCATTTTCCTGCTACAATTTCATTCCTTTCAAATTTACATCATCTAGTGCACAGAATGTCACTAATAGGTCATTTACAACCTGACACCTGAAAAATCAAAATGATTCAAGGGTCTCAGTCAGGTTCTAGGCAATTTTCACAGCCATTTAAGAAATGCAATCAAAATATTAGTAATGGCAAATTTATTCCAAAGGCCAAACTTTGCAATTTAAAAGCACGATTTTGGGAGCTAATGACAATGTGATGTGCTTATTGCTTCTGGACGAATACAGACTGGAGCCTGCTATGAAGGTTTAACAGCACTGGCAGTCCAGAATCCCCCATGAATCTTTTAAGAACTTCATGGAAAGTGGAACAGTTTCAATACTAAACAGTCAGGTATGCTTTACTGTATTACAGTATCCTTACTTCAGAAGTCTAGTGATTGAAACCCCACTGGCTTACAGGAAAGAATCATCCAGCAGCAGAGGGAACTCAGTCAAGTTTCCCAGCAACTGAGCTATTGGATAAAAAGAGTGAGAGGACACAAAACAGATCAGTACTATCTCCCCATTTTCCCATTTCTCTCTCCTTTAAATTGAAAATAAAAATTGACCTTTATTTTGGGGAAGCAACAGGTTCAAGTGTGAAGGCAGAAAGGAAGGAGCAACAGGACAGAGCAAGTTCCTTATCCTCAGTAAAGTGCCAGCTCAAAACACATCCCTCTCTTCAGTATTCTTTCGGTTGCTTCTGGCTATACACACTCCCCATCCTGAAAGCCATATAATGAAATACTCCCAGCAGAGCACAGCATCTGCTTTGAAGCTAGAGAATCTAACAGACAAGGCAGAACCTAATTCCCTTTGTTAATCTGGCCCAAGATCGTCAAATATATGCATAGTTACCGCATTGTCTAAAACTGAGGAATCCTGCTGCACTGTAGAAGCCATAATAAGGATTTCCATTCAAGGAATCGCTAAGGAATCTTGTATCATGTACCCTTACCTACAGTTAGTTATGTCTGGTCAGAGTGAGAACGCATGTCAATGCCAAATAGCCCAGAGTTTCCTAGATAACACACCCCTGGGTTACGTGAGTCCTCGGCTGAGATCTCAAACCTGCCTGATTTAGAGACAAGTGTGTTCTAATTAACAGCACAGGAAACTCCGTCACGGGTATGTCTGCATGTTTCTGCTCTCAGAGATGTTTTGCTTTAAATCGAGCATTATCTGCCTAAGCACGGGCTCAGTGTCCGCTTCCAATTTCTAAAGGGAAAACCCTCTCCAGCTGAGTTACCTCATTAGTTGCATAGTCACTGGCATGAAGTGGAGACTGTGTTCCAAATCCTTTGGTCTTTCACAGCCGAAATATGCCCTACCAGCAAAAATATTCTGAAGTAGGACCTAACTAGACAGATCCATGCAGGAGTCTTTCAAGGAAGCTGAAGTAATCACTCTCCAGTCAAGGAAATCCATTCTTTTTGGAATTACACATGACAGCCTTCCAAGATTTCAGCAAGATCCTGAGTAAAGAAATCAGGTCAGCAACTTTGCATGCACCCAGCAGCACAGATCCAGATTACAGGAACATGCAGATGCCTATAGGGTTAGACGGCATCTGGCTCCTCAAGCAGCAAGTAGACACCTAAATGCATTTAAGGATCTGGATCCAAATCAGTGAACAACAGCTAGAAGTGCCTCAGTATATTAGAGCTGCTTCTATAAAAATCACCAATAAAATCAAAGTCCTTGGTTACTTTATCATCAATTATGCCAAGAACTGAAGATTAAAAAATGAAAAATCCTCTCATCAGTTATTTTCCCAAAGCTGCTTTAAGATACTGGCCACAGGTTTGGGGAACTCATATTTTGCAGCTTTAGATGCACCTGTTCTGCAAATAAAACTCATCTCTCAAGCAATTCATTTCCATACCACTTAGAAAAACAAAATTAACTCCAAAGAAAATAATCTTTGGCTTCATTCCAAAAGAATTATAGTTCCATTCTCAGCACAGTATTTACCTTTACATACTAATTTCACTAATTCCATTCATTGACTGATTAGAACTCTAAAGAATCTGCTGAGGATTTCTTTGTAGTTGCACACCAAATATGTCTGCCTGATGTGAAACACAGGAATGTTACTGCCAGTTTAAATGAACAAGCTCTTAAATGATTCAATTTAATGTCTGTTTCAGTGAAAGCTTTGTAATCAGTAACATTTCTTATACATTGACCATCATTTATGTTTTGGTCTCCGAACCAATGCCTGCAAATTGGCAGGCCCACCCCATAGAGTTCCAAAAACATCCTTCTCTGTCCTTAAGGCAGTTTCTAGTGGTAGTTCTTTCCCTGCTGTAGCCACCTTTTTCACAGCCTGAATCACACTGGCTGGACCTTCTGTGTACAGATTCAGCCAGGCTCGAGCTTCTTCTAATGATCCAGTTTCATCTGAAGACACCAAAGTCTTCTCTGAAAGCCCCAGGCGCAGTGCTCTTTCAGGGTCCACCTTGACAGCACCGCTCAGTAGCTGGAGAGCAGCCCCACTTCCAACAATCTGCACTAGCCTGGTAGCTCCTCCCCAGCCTGGGACTAGACCCATCTGCTTATGGACGAATCGTATTTCACTTCCAGGAGTCATCAGCCTGTCAATGGAAAACAAACATTCAGAGGTCAATTTGTGCATCAACTTCAGTGCTCAGCTCTCCAGCATTCCCTTTTCTGTTTGCTCCTTCTCTCTGTTTCAAAGGGATACTACAACTTGACAGCATGCTGATTACAGCCAGAGCCTTCTAAACAACATGCACCTGGAACAGCTTAGTTTTTACATCAGCCAGTGACTTAAGCTGCAGCTCTTGGCCCTTCTCAAAATGAGATAAGTAGCAAAAAATATGCTCAGTGCCCACACTGATATCAGTAATCAGAAGTTGGCTCTAAAAACTGTTTGAAAAGAGGATGAATTGCAAAGATGGAGGGCACATTACACTTGTTCATAGGGTCAACACTATCTTGCTAATTCATGCCTAAAACAACAGGGTTTTGGCTAAAAAAGCCAAGCAAACTAAAGCACAACATTGGTATTCTGAGAGGATGGATCATGGGCTTAGTAGTGATCTGCACTGGAGAAGATCTGTCAGCATCCATCTGCTTGATTACAGCCTAGTTTCATTTTTGTTTGTTCCCTGTTTTAGAGAGTCTGAGTTTGATTTTCTAACTATTCACTACAGTAAGGGAAGTAAAGATGGATGTTCTATTATTTATGCCTTACAGTGTATAATAGAATTGCTTTCTATTTATGCCTTACAGTGTGCAATAGAATTGCTCCTCTCCAGAAGGTAGAATCACATACTTATTTTCAAATATGTCACATCTTTGCTTCATTTCTACAGTCTGTCACCTCCCTTATTTTAGAGCTCACCCTTAGGTTGATTAAACTATCTCCCTGGAGGAGCTCTGCAGCAGTGGATTGCGTTCTCTCTGCATAGTGTTCACAGTGACACATATTAGCTTAGCAGAAAAAGCCTCTAGAATTAAAAATATATTGAAAAGATGTACAGAAGAAGATAAGTACTTGTTCTTTCTTAAGAGGTTCTTCTGCAGCATGGTGGCTTGCTGCAACTTCTAAGACGAGAAATGTAAATTATACTTGCGAAGTAGGAATTAACTTCCACCCAAGCGCTAATTAGCTTTCTGAAGGTAAATCATGTAATACTAAAAATCTATACACAAGCCTGTTCCCTAACAATGCAGTTTTCCATAATGAAAATACTGATGTGAACAGTACTGTTTGAAAGGAGAAACAGAAAGAAAACCTTTCAAAATGCAACTACTCCTAGGCACTCACAGTTCCCATATCTGCTTAATATCAGTTTGTTTGGGTGTTTTTTCTTAAGCAGAGCACTACCAGCATTCATGACATATTACAAAGCACCAATGCTGAAGAGCTTACACTTTATCCCAGACCCAACACGATATACAAAGGCAACAGCTGACATGCCAGATTACACGAAAGCTATTTTGTAGAGATCAGTGGAGGAAGGTTGTGCGACAAAAGGAAGATTAATAGAGTACTGCAGGGGAGGGAAGACTTTTAACTAACATTAGCAAGTGCTCCCCAAACCCAGTAACTCCCAGGAAATTCAGGTCTGTCCTCTTCAAAAGGAATACTTTGCAAGTATTCCAAAATTCCTTTGTTGGCTTAGCTTTGCAATTTGCTGCACCTTACAGGAAAAAAGGATAGGCTCATGATCCAAATCTGCGTTTATTTGAAGAAATTCCTGTGATACAACTCCCCTCCCACTCCTACAGAATCACCCATTTACACAATCATATGGTTCTTTAAAATTCCTTGGATTCTGCTGAAAGTCAGTTACGGCTCTAATCCCCCCCCAAACTGATGTCGTTCACTCTGGATTTATCTCAGCTATTACATAGCACCCAGTGTGCCACTGGGAAAGCAATAATGAAAACATGATTAAGGGTTTAATTCTAGCTGTGCTGAGGAATATGAAACATTAAAAAAAGTGTTAATGTGCAGCAAACTACAGCTTTCTTGATGCTAGACAATTTGTAGGTAGTCTCAACACAGCCACAATAGGTCAGTAACACTTGTGCTTTTTGAATCTGAGATTGTCCCAGGCATTTAGATTCAGGCCTTAAGGACAGACAGAGAACATCCTGCAGGCAGTGTACAGACTCATCTAGGAAGCTCTGTCAATGCACTCTGAAGTTCACACGCAGAGTCAGATTTTACATTAGAAGCACAGCCAAACCAGAGTCAACAAGAAAAAGGTTGAAAGACTTTAGTATGTGGGAAAGGAGATGGTATCCTGCTCAACTTTCACCTCCTCCTGAAAAAACTGGACCAAAAATCATTACAAGAAAATAAATAGTGGACAGCTGAATCCATGGAGACACAGCAAGGCTGCAATTTTCAGAATCTTATCAGGATTCCCCTCTCCCGATAATGCACCTTTGAGTCAGCTCCTCAGAAACCAGTAAGATAGTAGTCACCAGAAGTGTAAAGGTAGTCTTTGACTGTCTTCAGGCTCAAGAAGCATCTCTCTGTTTTTTTTTCCAGACTTTTCAATTATCAATCCTGTCCTGAAGTTATGCCATTTCTTACAGAAGCCACCTACCAAACTGTTCCATTAGTTACAGCACTCAGTCCCTATGCCCAAGCAAGCAGTGGAGAACTGAGCTCAGACTTTGCAGGTCCCAAGGGGCGTACACCACTGCTAAGCTAGCCTGGGACCAGTCACTCAGAACATCACCAGCTACAGCCTTGTACAGTCATGCAGAACATCACCAGGTGCAGCCTTGTATAAATATTTCCCTTCCTATTTTATGAAAGGAATTGAGTCTACCTTCTGAGACATGGCAGATCTAATCTGAATTTACGTAAGAAAAGTACATCAAGCATTACTAAACGCAAAGAAGCAGGCTTCAAGAAGCTGAAAAGACATAAGCACCATTCTATTCTTAAGCTGTTTATTTGTACCTTATGCAGCTAGTAGTGGCCTTGCCAGAGACAGAAGACTAGATGAATACTAAATAAACTTCCGATTTGATTCAGTATGCCTGTTCCTGTCTTCCAGGTCAAGAGAATTAAACTCTAGGTCTCCTATATCCTAGGGGAAGGTCGTACCACTAGGCTCCTAGTCACCCGAAAAATTATTTATCAAACATGACTCAAGAGCTAACGATCTGAAGACCTTACAGGGAACCACCCTTGAGAAACGTGAGGTCTACCTGAATGCTCACATCTTAAATTGGAAATAAGGTACATGTAAGCACAGAAATGCAGCAGTAACCTTTCAGAACACTGTAATTCCATGTTACAAACACTACAACACTCCCAGGAGGAAAGCACAGCCACTATGGGCTGCATCCAATTTTGGGTTAGTCATCTAAAGCAAACGTTCCTGCTGTACTTTTTAAAGTATTCTCAGATTCACTGAATGTTAAAAGCCCTCTACCTTTGATCAGAAGATTCCTTCAAATACCCTGTGACATGTTATCATGCCTACAAACTACTGACTGTCACATCACAATGCACGTGACAAGAAAACCTTAATTGCCATTAACAATACAAACTAATAAATCCCATACTTAAACAGGTACACTTGCTTCCTCAAAGAATGCATTTCTTGTGAGTCAATAGCTATGCTTTCCTGTGCTACAGCACCTTCTTTACCTTCCAACTACCTGAAGCGGAAGAGTGTACAATGAAGGCTGAAAATGCAATGCTAACCAAAACATATTTTCTCATTTTTTCCTATCTGTTTTTTATAGTGTTCCTGTTACTGAACTGTTCCAACATGTATAATCAGCTCTTTAGGCAGAATAAAGATTATATTAACATCTGTGCCAGTCTTTGCTACACCATTCCTAGACTTCTGAGGTCTGAATTATATTCAGCATCCTGACAAGACACTAATGAAGTTTACTAGGGAGGGACAAATACCTTCTTCTCTTTTACGTATTTTTAAAGCTCCTACCACTATGCTTCTGAAACCCATGATGGAAGGAGGATGCCTAAAACATTAAATGTGTCATCAGCAATCTGGATTTTGTTCCCATCTCTGTGTGACTTCCAGTGTCACGTAAGGACACAGCTCCTTAGCTCTGACCTTGTCCTATTAGCAGGCATGATTCTGACACTTCATGGAGTGCGGTGACTAGCACCACGCAGTGCTGTACAACCTGGTTCTCATTTACAGTTACACTGAGCGAGGGCAGCCAGAACTGCAGAAGATTACATTAATCTCCCTGACAAATACCTTGGCCTCATGCTGTTTCCTAGCACTTGCTCTCAACATGTTGCAATCAACACAAATAATAAGCCAAGCTGTGGTGGCACCCATAGAATTCAGTGGCTATACCTGAGGTCTCTTGGGCTGACCTACGGCTAAGCCCTCCTGGGTATACCTGTTGGCCAACAGTTTTCTGCCTAGCGACTGGACCATGACTGGAGGAAACAGCTAGCCATCAAATCCCACGAGCGCAGCAAGTGGCACCTGTCCATCAAAGAACATTCGAGAACATGCTGGAATCATCCTGAACCTGCCAGAGCCACCACATAGTAGCATGACCAGCCTCAATTCGATCACAGCTATAAATAACCACTGCGGGCTTCTGAACCTCGAGATCGCCTAATGGGATGCAGCCGGTCTGCTGAAGTGACGGAACTCCCCTCGGATTGGGACGCCCCCTTAGGAATTCCCACTGGGATTTAAATCTCTCTCCACATGGTTGCGTGAGCGTTCAGTGCACCTACTGGATGATTACTGTCCAGTCTAGAGCAGCAAAGCTTCTTTGTTAAAGGTGTGCGAGTGTCTAAACCACGGAAGGGATGGCTTCCTCACTCTGTATTGCTTTTCCCTTTTGAGAGTAGCTACTTACCCTTCTTTTGTCTGTTATTTTCTGTTCCTTTCTTTGTGCGATAACATATGAATATATGTAAATGGTTTGATAAATATGTTTATTTTTTAGAGTAAAAACTACTTTTATTGTTTAAAATAATTACTTTATTTGTTATCAAATCCATTTGTTCATAGTAGGAACATCGATACCAACATCTCAAAATCTGTTATGTGTCATGCTTCAATAAACTGTTTAATGATGCTTTTAAACTGGTTTGGTA